GAAAACCTCAGTGCTACTCAGGACTTCCTCAGTTTCTCAGCAGTAGCCTCAGTACCACTCAGGGTTTTCTCAGTACAACTCAGTACTTCCTCAGGGTTTTGTTGGATTCTCAGGGTTTTTTGTCCCCCGCTTGAAAAGTGGGGGATATTAATTTGGGTTTGTCCGTCCGTCCGTCCGTCTGTCTGTCCGTCCGTCTTTCTGTCTGTCTGTAACGCTTTCGTTTCCACACGATATCTCGAGAACCCTTTGAGCTATTGCAATGAAATTTAGCATAGCAACTCCCTATGGACTAAAGAAGACCCCTATTGATTTTGAGGTCAAAAGGTCAAAGGTCAAGGTCATAAATAAGCAAATTCTGTCTGTTAAAACACTTTCGTTTCCACACGATATCTCTAGAACCATTTGAGCTATTGCAATGAAATTTTACATAACAACTCCCTGTGGCCTAAAGAAGACCCCTATTGATTTTGAGGTCAAAAGGTCAAAGTTCAAGGTCGTAAATTTATACATTCTGTCTGTGTGTAACACTATCATTTTCGGGCGATAATTCAAGAAGATTTTGAGCTTATGCAATGTAATTTTATACCAAAACTCCCTAGGACGTCTCTCGCCCCTCTCAAAGTGCCCCACCCCGTTTGTTTTTTTAGTATTTATAGTATTACATGTCGCTATTTTTAGCGCAGGGGCATGAGGAGAGTTATTGCGTATAAAACAGGTTTTCGGCGGACTTTATGTTCTTATTACATCTATTAGAACTGTTTAATAAAGGCTAAATAAATCAAACACCATGGATTGTGTAAAATTTTGCGAATACCGAACATGAAAACATGAATATATACATGTATGTGACTTCAATTCTGCATATACTTCACTCCATGTAAAGTGACTTCGTGGTCTAGTGGTTATGTCTCTCGCTTCAAATGTGAGAGGTCCCGGGATCGAATCTCGGTCGGACCGTTCTTTTTTTCTTTTTTTTTTTTTAAATACTTTTTTTTTTACTAAATGATAGTATTCAGCATGTGAAATGAAAAATTTATGAGGTTATAAAATCACCATTACAGTGTGATAAATATTCCATATGAAAAAATCTTCCATACACATAATAAAGAATAAGCAATCAAATCTTTATATGCATATTGACATACATGCATTTTATTTCCTTCAGTATACATGTATACATTTAATAATTCTACAAATTCAGTCAGGGGGAGCCGACTTTTTCCCTAAGCGGGGGACACGAATTCTCTGAATTAGCTTGTTTAATACAGTAGTGCTACCTGCTTGTGAGGGAACTGGAGATCACCATCAGGACGATAGTGGACTTTGACAACTTGCAGTCTATTTCCTTGAACAGTTGTGTAGTGAAAGAGAAGATGATGGATTCATTCATGGTGAAACATTACATAACTCAATTGTATAGTGATTTTCCAGAGACTGACTTACTACCACTCTTGGAAGACATTGTATGCTTGTTCACCACGGTGAGGGGTTATGCTGTGACCCGACTTCTTCGCAAGAAGTTGAATGCAAAATCAGTGAAACCAAGTGACAGTCTTCGACAGGCACTGAAAGCAAAGACCAGCAACTGACCACTTTGAAAATTGTGAATGCCTTCTGCTGAACTTTTAATCTGACTCGTGTGCTTTTTGTCATGTACATGTACTGTATGTTGATTAATAATGAATGTGCTTTCAACAGTTCTATTTATTTGACACAACCAATGATATTGTTATTCTATTAATAAATTTGTAAAAAAAAAATTGATGTGTCATTTCTTGTCCAGTGAGAGGGGGTGGGAATTCAATTTGTATTGTTTGAATATTGATGAATCACAAATAATGGAATTTTACCAGTCCACACTGCAGAGACAATATCTATTTTAAAGGTGCTAAGACACAGATTTGAAATTGATATTTCCTCAAATTTTCAATATACAACAAAAATTCCATTTTTTATGTATTCAGAACAAAATTATAATTTGTGAAAAAGCAAGGATGTGTCAATCAAACCAGAAATTCAAAGTTTCAATAACTTCCAAATAAAATAAAAGTTATTATTTTTATATTTTCTTGCAAAATACTATTACAATAAATATGTTGAAATATTTTACAGAAAATCTGAAATAATATTAATTTCAAGTCTGTGTCTGTGTATCTTTAAGATGTCAAAATACAGTAATATTTTTACCAGGCCCAATGGTCAACCAGATTGCTAGTAATGCAATCTTATCAACACAAATTCAGAATATGTCACACTTGTAGTGTATTGATATTATGTTACAGTGTTAAGGGAAGTAACTCTAATTTGTGTTGTGTCACTTGTGTGTAAGAGTTTGTGTGCTAGAGTTATGGTTCGTAGTGTGGGTCAGGTGTCAGTGTGTATCCGGCATGAGTAGTACGTGCATGGACTGTCAGAGTGGAAGCATGTGGTTATGTACCTGTATACATGAATCAAGTATAAAACGTGATTCAATTCGAGTAATTCTTCACTGGCGACGAGGAAAACGAAAGCTACAAGATGGCTACACTAATAGAACTCAACGGAGTTGGAAAGTTTAATCCAAATGCTGAACCTTCACAAATAAATCAAGCATGGAAAAGGTGGCACCGATTTTTGAACTTTTCGCTGTTGGAAAAGGGGTGAGTGACGCTGAACAAAAAAAAGCATTACTTTTGCACTGTGCTGGACCGGAAGTTCAAGACATTTTTTATACATTGAATGTTGAACAAGCAGGTGAAAATGACAATGTGTATACGTTAGCTGTGAAAACGTTAGATAAACATTTTGAGAATAAAGTCAACGTTCCGTATGAACGATATGTTTTTAGGAAAATTCTGCAAACTGAGACTGAAACAGTAGAACAGTTTATCACAAAATTACGGCAACAGGCTGTGTATTGTGACTTCATAAATCAAGATGAGCAAATTCGGGACCAAGTGATTGAAAAGTGCAGGTCTCACAAAATAAGAGCCAAGTTGTTAGAGAAAGGAAAAGACTTGACTCTAGAGCAATTGAGGACAATAGCAGCTACATTTGAAATGACTGAAACACAGGCTAGGCATATGGACACTGAAATTGTGGCGTCAGTAAACAGAATTCAGGGACATCGTGAAAAAACTGACAAACAGAAACACAGATTTCAGGACAAGAAGTGTTTTCGTTGTGGACGAGAGGGGCATTTTGCAAAGGACGTATCATGTCCTGCTCGGAATAAGGAATGTCGGAAGTGCGGAAAAGTTGGACATTTTATTAAATGTTGTTTAACAAAGAAACCAGGAAAAGGCAAACCAACCAAAGGTGGGAAAATTAACAAAGTGGATTATTCTGAAGTGGATTCCGACTCAGAAGTATACGTGTTTAGTTTGAAAACAGGACATACATCATCAGACAAAGTAAAAGTCAGTCTAGGAGGAAATCCTGTAGAATTTGTCATTGATAGTGGTGCATCAGCTAACATCATTGATAAAGAACTCTGGGAATATCTTAAGAAGAACCGTATCAAGTGTCACTCAGAGAAGTGAGAAAAAAAACTTTTTGCTTACGGATCTACAGAACCGTTGAAATTATTGGGTAAAAAATTCAGAGCGCAAACATCAATTCATGAAAATGGAAATAGTAGAGAAGAGGAGTTCTTTGTACTAAATGGTACAGGACCAGCGTTACTGGGCAAAGACACGGCTATAAATTTAGGAGTTCTGAAACTCGGAGTAAACACAGTTCAGCCAACTGACTTTATTCATGAATACTCTGAATGTTTTCAAGGTATTGGAAAACTCAAAGACTTTAAGTTGAAGTTACATATTGACAAAAATGTGAAGCCAGTAGCTCAAAGCATGTACAGAATTCCGTACAGTTTGCGAGATAAAGTAGGAGAACAGTTGGACGAACTTGAGTCTCAGGATATCATTGAACGAGTTAATGATCCTACACCGTGGGTCAGTCCAGTCATAATTGTACCGAAACCCAATGGTGACATTAGATTGTGCGTCGACATGAGGCAAGCCAATGCTGCCATTATTCGTGAACGGCATCCTATTCCGACAGTGGATGACATACTCTACATGGTGAATGGTAGCCAAGTGTTTAGTAAGTTAGACCTTAGAAGTGGATACCATCAAATTGAGCTGGAAGAGTCGTCAAGGGAGATCACTACATTCGTTACGTACAAAGGTCTCTACAGATATAAGAGACTGATGTTTGGTATTTCATCAGCTCCAGAGAAATATCAGCAAGTGATTTCACAAGTGTTTCATGACTGTGAAGGAGTACAGAATATTTCTGACGATATCGTAATTTATGGTCGTAACAAAGCAGAACATGATGAGCGACTTCGCAAAGCCTTACAGAGACTCAAAGATAAAGGTCTGACACTAAATCTAAACAAGTGTGAGTTTAGGATGAACAAGATAACGTTCATGGGACATGTCTTGTCAAAGAATGGTATAGGACCGACAAGTGAAAGGATCAAGTCGTTACTCAACGCTAAAGAGCCAACAAATGGATCCGAAGTGAAAAGTTTCCTCGGACTTGTAAACTTTAGTGCTCGTTACATACCAAATCTTGCTACTGTGGCGGAGCCACTCAGGAGACTGACAAAGAAAAATGTGAAGTTTGTCTGGACAGCCGAACAGAAGAAAAGCTTTGACACTTTAAAGAGTTGTTTGTCAAATGTGAAAACTTTGGGACATTACAGATTAGATGCAGAAAAAACTCAGTTAGTGACAGATGCTAGTAAAATAGGCCTAGGAGCAGTCTTACTTCAAGTCAACAAAGGTGAAACACGGGTCATCAGTTATGCCAGTCGTACGTTGTCAGCGGCAGAACGCAATTATTCGACAATCGAGAAAGAAGCTTTAGCAGTCGTATGGGCATGTGAGAAGTTCCATATCTATCTCTACGGGGTGGATTTTGAATTAGTCACAGATCACAAGCCATTATAAGTGATTTATGGAAGAAAATCCAGACCTAATGCAAGGATTGAACGATGGCTATTAAAACTTATGGCTTACAACTTCAAAGTACGTTACTCACCTGGATATCAGAATATCGCAAATGCGTTATCACGTTTGGTGGATAAGACACGTGTAGAAAACAGTAATTCAAGAGACACTGAGCAATATGTGAAATTTATTGCAAGGGAGGCAACCCCTCAAGCACTGTCGACTCGAGAAGTAGAAGAAGCTTCAAGGAGAGATGAAGAACTTATTCGAGTTCAGAAATTCATCAAAGAGGGGAAGTGGGATAAATCATGCGTTGATTATTACCCATTCCGAGATGAACTTTGTTGTATTGGATATGTGGTGTTACGTGGATCCAGAATAGTGATTCCAAGAAATCTGAGGAAGCAGTGTATACAGTTAGCTCACCAGGGTCATCTAGGAATCGTTGGGACGAAACAGCAGTTACGTACTAAAGTGTGGTGGCCTGGGATGGACAAGGAAGTGGAGAAGTATGTGAAATCGTGTCACGGATGTCAGATTACCAGTGCGTTTCCGAAACCGGAACCAATTAGTCCTACTCCATTACCAACAGGGCCATGGCAAGAATTGGGCATTGATATTCTTGGACCATTAACATCTGGACAGTATGTGTTAGTTGTTGTTGATTATTACAGCAGATACTATGAGATTGAAGTTACCAAGGATATTACAAGTGAGAAAATCATTGATTCGCTGGAGGGAATGTTTTGTCGACATGGACTTCCATTACAAATAACTTCTGATAATGGACCCCAGTTCAGATCTAAGTTATTCAAGGATTACTTGACAGATAACTGTATCAAGCACTGAGCAGTTACACCGTTACATCCGTCAGCAAACGGGGAGGTAGAACGACAAAACAGATCGTTGATGAAAAGAATTCGGATTGCACAAGCAGATTCTAAGAATTGGAAGACCGAAATCCGCAAATATCTATTTGCCTACAGAACGACTCCTCATACTACGACAGGAGTACCACCTGCGGAATTGATGTTCCGTCGTAAGCTGAGGACAAAGCTACCGCAAGTGGAGAATCTTCAAGAAAACGACTATGATGAGGGAGTGCGCGATAAGGATGCGTATTCTAAATACAGGAACAAGATTTATATCGATGAGAAACGTGATGCACAGGAGTGTGATTTGGAGCTAGGAGATTCAGTCCTCTTGAAGAAAGCGACCAAGGACAAAATGGATACACCATATCACGTGGAACCGTATACACTCGTACAGAAAACCGGAAACAGCTGTGTTGTTAAATCACCAGAGGGAGTGTTAGTGAAGCGAAATAGTGAATTCGTGAAAAAATATCAGGAACCGGAAAGTGTGTCCGACATTCCAGAGAATCCGAGTGATCTTAGTGAACCGAGTGTTGAGTCTAGTGCTAATAGTGATGATGTTCCGTCCGCGGCTCCAGAAACTCCGAGCGTTAGAAGGTCTACCCGTATAAGGAAACTACCGCAACGTCTTAAGGACTTCGAACTGTGAAATATTTCCGTGTGAATGTTATTGACTGTAAGTTTATTATATCTTAGACTGTAAATTGTAAATGTTTTCTAATAATATGTTGGACAGTAATTTCTTTTCAGTAATTCATTTATTTTGAGAAGTGTAAAAGTTTATTCTTAGAAAAGGGGGTATTGTAGTGTATTGATATTATGTTACAGTGTTAAGGGAAGTAACTCTAATTTGTGTTGTGTCACTTGTGTGTAAGAGTTTGTGTGCTAGAGTTATGGTTCGTAGTGTGGGTCAGGTGTCAGTGTGTATCCGGCATGAGTAGTACGTGCATGGACTGTCAGAGTGGAAGCATGTGGTTATGTACCTGTATACATGAATAAAGTATAAAACGTGATTCAATTCGAGTAATTCTTCAACACTGACATTCCATGGGATTCTAAATGCAGCTTTGACAGCATGGTATCAGATTCTCAAAGGGTCATGTTATACAAAAGAACTTGTGACTAAGACCAAAGTGTAATTTTGTAAATTACATTCTTCTTTCACATTAATTTAACATTGGGATTAATCTTTCAGAAGAGTTTAAAAGATATAGATAATTATGTACCAGCATTTATAATAATGCAGGTAATATTTTGGATTCTGTAGAAGTTGTATAAAATTTTACAACTGCATCAAGATATTAGTCTTAGTAAAAAGCTCTTTTGTAAAGCAAGGCTGGAACTTGTTTTACTGTAGAAATAAAACCGACTGAAAATCAGATAATTTATTTCAATTAATAACTATGATAAAAACAAAACAAACGAGACATATAAATAAATAAATAAATAAATAAATAAATAAATAAATAACAGCAAAATGTCAACATTTACAGCTGTACAATAAGGTTTTCATAGTTTCTTGGACAGTCACACTTTGTTCCTGAGCGAATCACATCCTCATAGGCTTCCTCCTGGGCAACTTGTTGTTGTTAATGTCAGCAGCATTCACATTTTCATCCCTTCGAATATTTCCTCTTTTTGGCCCCAAAGCCAAAGCACCTACAGTTCTTATTTGTTTAAGAATGTTCTTCACTTCAAGCACGGTTGGATTGTTGTTGTGACCTACTTTATGTCTGTAGTGGCCAAAGTGTTGTTCAAAGGGATCCTGGTTGAAGCAATGGGTTAAGATGTAGGATGCCCCTTTGTCCAACATGAACTTGACACATTCCGTAATGGACAAGGTAGAAATTTTGAGTCCATTCAAGGTCTGGTGACTTAGCTGCATCGACGCTTTTTGAGAATCTGAAAGGTTCCTTCTGTTGTTCACAGAAATTCTCCACTCCTGGAGGTATCCAAGGAAACTGTCTTTAAGCCATCCTAATCTCGCATCATCTGTGGATCGGTATGGGTCCAGGTTTGCGTTACGTTTATTCCTGCCTTCAAATGGATTCCTTACATTTAAACAATCGAAGAATTTGTTCATAGTCCTAATGAATCTAACTGTCTCACCCACGGTATCGTCATAGTGAAATTCCAATGAATTTGCCACAGTATCACTAAGCACTTGGGCAGCTAGACTAACTTTCATGCGGCTAAAGGCTGTCAAGTCAAGATGTAATCTGGTGAGCTTTGGGCAGGTGGAATACAGATTACTCTCGCAATGTTCCTCATAAAGTCTCAGTACATGTAGCCATGATATGTCTTTTCCATCCTTCCATAATTTCCTGGTATTTGAGTGGGAATTCGAGTTGCTGAAGCAATTTCTTGTTTTAACCAAATGAGGTACATCTGATATAAAGAAGATTTTTCTTGACAGGTCATGTGGATTTAGAGTGAAATGGACAATCCCATCTTCATCAACTCTGTGCAAATTAAAAAATCTTCTATTAGGTGATGCTCCATCGCAGGTAAGAAAGAGCACCTTAACTTTCACCAGTCTCCAAAAGTTCAACAGCCTTCCAAATGATGGGATATAGGAAATCTGCTGTTATCCCTGTCGTAGCAAAAGCTGCGAATGGAAACTTAACGTCACTCGTAATTCCACGCACCATCAGAACAAGAATACATTTGGCTACACTAGAGTTTCCTGCATCTCCGCTAACATTTCTCTCTAACGCACAGAGTTGATCTCCTATGTCCCCTAGCTTCACATAGCCTATGATTTCTCCTGAGTGCTTGTCGTACACTAAATCTTTCTTGATCTTTATCTCATCAAACAAAATGCCGGTGTAGCTCTTCCATTCCTCCTGGAACATCTCTCTTTTTTCACACTCCTCGCGTAATAACTTGACAACATCTGGCTGGAACCCAAGGGCACTGGTAAGACAATGATTGTAATCAAAGAGAGTCCTTGAACTTGGCAGTGTGATGAATCCTTAGTCTCGAAGAGCATCATAAGCTTTTGATGACTTCTGCCTGAGGTAGAGACACCATCTTATAATTGTCGGATGCCAACGCATACCATTTTTTCCATGTTTGATAGCCTTTTTCTGTTGTTCCCAAAAGAGGCGTTGAAATGAATTGCAGTCGGGATAGGCTGCCACCATCTCTTCCTCACAGGTAGCCATCAAATCTTCTACCTCCTGATTTTGGATGGAATTCATAGAAATGCCATTTCTTATGATCTCCTTATCACAGTCTCTTCTCATCTTATCAATCGTGTGCTGCATGGACTTGATTTGTTCCTTTTGTTGCTCTAACTTCTTTAACAGCATATCCCTGTTCATGTCCTTATGTTTATATGTGCTGCTCAAAGATAATGTATTTCCTGTTTTCCTTCCTGTCGGATTTTCCATGCCTTCAACTGTCGACGATAGCTTGAACATTGAGGACATCTAGCACCAAGAACAAGCATAGCACACTGGGAAGATCTGATAGTAGATGAATAAGACAGATTCCCTTGGACAGCACAAAAGTCACTTTCACGGTAGGCTAAAATTTCTGGTGATGAGGCACTCGAGATTCCACACCCAACTGGTGTCAATTCCTGAAATTCTGGATCTGGGTTTCCAATGCACACTCCATACTCTAAAAGCTTTTCCAGAATCTTGAAAACATCGTTTGCACTTTGGACGTGTGTTGAAAGCTCACTCCAAAAATCATGGGTTTCAGGAACTAATGTCCGATGAACATACAGCTGAACATGGCAGACTTTTCCGATCACAAGAGATAACTTCACGGCTGTGTTGTGTTCCCGTCTGTAGAGCTGGAGAATTTCAATACCGTGTTGCTTTTCATTGAAGTCCATAATATACGGGGAAGGCACGTTTTCAGTCAACTCATATCGTAAAATTTCAAATGGATCTGTCACTTCCTCTGTCTCAACTTCAACACTTTCTCCCACAAGAATGCCTGCATTCAAATCCAAATTGTCTATGTCCATTTCCTCTGCACTTGAGTCTTCACCATCAGATTCACAGTCTGAGCGAGGGGATCTGTCTCCTTCAGTTTCGGGAGCATCACTGTGGCTTCGGACATAATTGTGTTCCAACTGCACATAAGATTGTTCGCCTCGTGCCCTCTTGTAGTGGTACTTTTTCTTCTGCATCACAGAATTCTGCCGCTTTCTAGGCATTCTGAAACAAAAATGCTTGCATTATATATAGGATTTTAAGAATTCTATTTATAGGTATTATTTTACAATAGCTTCAAGGTTCATAAACCCTCTGCTCAGTCATATAAAATACAGTGGCGTAGCATCGTTTTTGAAAATAGGGGGGGGGCAGCCAGAGAAAAATTTTTTTGTACTTACATGAAAAAGTTGACAAGCACAAAAAAAACTAGAAGACTTATTGTTCACGGAACAATAAGAGGTCTTTCCACCTTCTTTGAATTTCAATTTTGTTTTATATCTGACTGCTTAAAATTAAATTCCAGGAATAAGAAACCAAAATTGTCTTAAAGGATAGAAAAAATTGAAAATAAAAAAATTGAAATGACCTTGACCTTTGACCTTGAGAAAATGTTCAAGGTCAAAGGTCAAGAGTCATAATGCAATTGACCCCGTGCTTCTACGACTTATAGTTTTTAAGTTATAAGGTTTAATAGTCGGTACAAAGACGTTACAGGGCAATAACTAATATAAGGGGTCATCAGATCCTTTTGCACTTATACAGTGAAGTCTCTACGGTCTACAGTTTCCGTGGAGTAGCGATTACAAGGTTTTTCGCACAAGGGGCAATAACTTTTAAAAGAGTTAATCTTAGGGAACAAAAATGAAATATTTAAAATATTTTTAAGAGTACATATTATTGATGCAAAGACATTAAGTATATGTTTAAAGACAAAAGAGATATAAAAAGAGCTTAATTTCTCAAATTTGGAATGACCTTGACCTTTGACCTTTGCATTAATTTCATGATCAAAGGTCAGTGA